ATTACATCTACATTCACATGCACCATTCAGCACAGCTATTTCTCTGAAACTCTTATCTCGGCTGGTTCTCAATTTTAAATGTGTTCAAGGACAAAAACCCTCTCAGTTCTTTAAGATGGTAAAAGATCAGTTCGTGATTGTTTTAAGGTTTATTGAAATTGAATAGAGTATTGAAATTCATTTCTGGAGTGCTTAGGTTTCTAACTTTACTTTGACTGTTTCTGTTTTCATAATGCCAGTTCCATACTCATCTTGCTTACTTGGACCTGCTCTTTTCTACGAGTATTTTCTTCACTTCTGACATGTGCTAGCACCTCTTCTAAATTAACACATAAGTAATAAGATTTATGAGAGAATAGAGTGTGGAGACTGGCCTTTTTTCTGTCATCAGAAATCAGAAGTCCTTCAGCTCATTGAGAACTGCCTCCTTCAGATTCTAGCTGAAGTGTATCCTGCTGGATCAAACTGCTGCCACCGACGACAGCACGTTACTGATACAATAGCTAACGCAGCAGCTCAATAAGCGTACATGAAGCCATGCGCTCTACACGTCACCAGCACTTAGGAGATATTTTAGTCACGTAGTTTAAAAGGAATAGTACCACCATAATAGACTTGTTACTATGTTGCCATGTACTGATTCAAAAAAACCTTTGATGCACCTTGATGTGTTTCTATAAACATAGTAGTGTTTACATATCGGGAGGACACATGGCCCAGAGATAAACTGTCTTTGGAAACCAACAGAAAGTCACAGAAGTTGAAACTAGGAACTGAAGTTTCATCCTTAAGTGACAAACAATACCCATCTGCTTTACCTTTGCTAAACCACAACAGTTTTAGAGAGAGACAACAAACCTGGATGAAAAGTCAATTAGATCTACTTGTGCAACAGGTAACTTAGTAGTCTAGTCAACCTACCACAAAACATCTCTTTTCCAAGAAGCTTAGTAGTCTTCAGGAAGAATTTCAAAATACATAAGTCAGTACATGGGTTCCTGAACACATTATTTGATAGTATTTGAACAGTATTGCTAATAAAGAGCTTGGCAGGTATGGATCATAAGCCTCATTATTCAAATGTTTAAACATAGTAATAAAGCCACTGCACTGACTGCTTACTTACCAACTCTTTACAAAAAGGTTTAACGAGACTGAAAAAACTAATCTTTTATTCCTCTCAGACAAATTATTCCTCTGAACAAATCAAGAAAGGGACTAACCTGGTTTCCAGCAGAATGTGCTCAAGCAGGAAAGGGCTTCATTCGTCAGCATCGACCACCGCAGCAGCATTCAGGATCACAGGGGGCAACTTTGAGGAGGACAGTATCACTGAGATGAGCTTTGACTGAAGAGCTAAAGAGCTTACGCTGGAGTAAACAACCAGTAGTACTCAAAACCAGACAAGCAGAACCCAATCATTACCAGCCCTCACCGCCAGCTAAGAGGGGCTTTATACTACAGGAAGGGGATGTTCTAAAGGGGGCCTGGTTGGCTGGGAGGGGCCCTGCAGGATTGGTGGGTGGGGGTAGGCCCAGGTGGCCCCAGGCCTGGAAATCAGCCCTCAGGACAGGGATAGACAGGCATGGGTAGAACTGCAGGCTTATTTTGGGAAGATGTGCATAGATGCTTCAGTGGCCTCAAATAAGCAGAGTCTGGTTTTCCTCTCAGCCTAAAGATGGCGTTTTCTGCTGCCTCACGTTTCTTCACATGATGCTAGACACTGCCTCAGTACTTGCTCAGAGGCAAAAGCATTAATAACACTACACCTGCAATATATTAACATTTTTATGTTTTTCCTTGGCAAACTCTGTCCTCTTATCAGAATCTTATCTGAGGACAAGATGCTTTTAACATAGCTGTACCTTTGTGTTAGTGTGCAGTCAATTCCAGATTACTGGTTTACCTTCAGGTTCTATTCTAAACTGCAAGTCAGAGTATAAAATATTTATATAATCTTATGTTTCCCTCAAATGTGAATTTTCTAGCTGTCATAACTCGAAAGCAAGTATCGAGTATGATAACTTGTTTGACATTGGTCAGGTCAGCTGGGAGTATGAACCAACTTCCAGCCCACACAATACTAGATGTTTTCTAAAAATGATTCCAAAAAGAAGCTCCAACACAGTCCCTTCAGCCTTGGTCTAGAACCATCTCTTTCTATACATAAAAGACTGCAGTGTTTGTGACTCTGTACAGGAGATCCAGCCTGCATAGTTATCTCCTTTGACACTGTAAGTCTTCCGAAAAGAAAGGGAAGCCCTTCTCTCTGTGCTTCTCTCTGCCCTGCCCTTTTGGATACCATGTTAGCAAATGCTTCTTTAGCATGAAGATCTCAACCCTTATTTTGTAAAGGGTCATTGCAGCAGCTCACATACTTGCAGGCAAATGCTGGACACACAGAGTCTCAGACAGGCACAGCTTCTGTTACTGACACTTGGTATTTCACGCTGCTGCTGAAGGGACATAGGGTGTGCTACGCTCCAAAGCTGGGAAGATCTTACAGATGTGATACCACATTCCGCTTTGTTTGGAGGAAGTGCTCAGAGTGACACCTTCCCCTCCCCATCACAACACTTTTAAAGAGCGAAGTGTTGATAGATCAGCCAGAGATGGAACATACTGTGTGCACAGATGTGCATACAAGAAATGAAAGAATTCTTTGTACCTGAGATTCTGCCTAATTAGTCTGGGGCTTCTAAACACAGAGGCGAAACACTGGGGAAAAAAATTGGCATTCATGTACAGACACCAAATAGTAAGTGAAAAAGATGTATTATATCCCTATTAGAGGTGATGTGATTGATCCAACTCATCATGCATTCTGCACAGACTTTTCCTTGGCACCCAGCCAACGCACCGTAACAACATACATCCTGCATATGTGACTAGGGAACAAAAACGAAGCAAGGCTTGTTTCTATTCCTATAATTCTGAAATTAGGAACTCTGGTAAATTACCGCTCTGTAGAAATCAAAAATGAAATGGCATCCAAGTGTTTAGTCATGGTTTATATTAAGACTATATGGAATTACTTATGCAACTATTACCGAAGAGCTTGATTGGTATTATGATTCCCAGGGCTAAGTAAGTCCATTGACATGTAGGATTTGTGATAGACTCATGTTTCAGTAATGTTTACGGCACCCAGAGTGTCTTACTAAACCAGTCAACCAATTCTTTCTTTATATGCAAGTGCATTTCCAATTCAGTGAAGTGTGCGGTAATCAGAACTGACAAAGCTTTATAAGTATTAACGTTCTGTTGTACATACTAGAGTTAATAATTTGCTGTCACTGTGTGCAGTTTAATATATCTTCATTGTGGCCATGTCATTTTCCCTGCTTAAAGCATACTTGATCTAATCCTACTATTTTAGGGAATAATGAATTATTATTATGCTTGTTTTATTAAAGCCCTCTAGATATTTTGTTTACCTCATTAATATATTTCACTGCACATCCACACATATTGCTCCATATTAGCTTAGACATACAATATTACTAGATTTGTCTTGTCTCAAACAGAATTGCATTTATAAGCAGGGATATGGTAAGCTGCTTAGCTACTACAGCTGTGTAGACAATCAGTGCCTCCCCAGGTTTTGGTGCCCTGGATGTATCTCAGAGAGTCTTTAGTTTCCTGAAATCCTGTTTACTACTTGGGTGAATTTTTGCTTTGTATCTGCTGTTCTTACCCGAGAACTGGCAGTACTGAGTGGATAGCTCTAATGTGTTTGCTTCGTTAGCACATTTTGTTCAGCTGACTAAATATTACTCATAGGGAATAATTTGTCTAGAGATGAACATGCAGACTTTCTTTGATTACAGCTGCATATTGCACCTGAAAGTCAGGAAAGAAGGTTACGTTCGCCTGTAACACTCAGGCTGACCCTTTGAAATAACACTGGCTCAGTGTTTTACATGTTGTTGGTACAAGTTCTTATAGCTGTGAAGCCTTACAATGACAGTGGTGCTTAGGCACGCTTTTTTATACATAATGGAGACACGGAGAAAAAAAGAAAAGCGAAATACCCTAAATTATAAAAATGTGTTCCAGAAATCACCTTGGTTTTCCAGGTTTCTAACACTGTAACTTTGAGTTGTGAAAACATCACTTCCTTGGTACTTCAGGGACATGGGTGCTCTCTGTGGCGGGTGCTGGTGTTCTGCGATGTGTGTCAGGTCTGGAGAAGAAATTCTGCCCCTGAGAACATTTGAACTATCTGCTCTTTAAAAGACTTAGTATTTCCCCTGCGTAAGGTTTTATGTCTTCCTTTCTACATTTCTTCGGAAGACTGAAGCTGTGCTGCCAGCATCCTATAGATCTGCGTGGCCCAAAAGGAGGGAGGTGCTATCGTGAGGCATCTCTCGTGAACAGACAATCCTGTATTCAGTGCTAGGATTCTGGTTTTCACCTCAGAGGGGGATCTTAGGGCTATTTTGATTTTGTCCAGTACTAAGCATAAACACATTTAAAAAGTCTCACTTTGGTTTCTGAACAATCTGAGCATTTGGCTTAATTTCATGTGAAAATTGTGCATTGAAATGAAATAATTTAAATTAAATTTAAATCAGTAGCATAACTGCTTAATGATAATTGAAATATCTTATTATTTACATGAAAGTAGATCTCTTATTATAGTTAAACAGCTCAACATTTTTATATGAATCTCATTTGCTAAATTACAATAGGGAATTCCAACTATTATATCACATTATATTTCAGTATCAGTAATGAATCTTGATTACATATAAATAACTACACAGAACAGCTTCATGACCAATGACTGTCATAAAATAATCGAGAACATGCTAAATACCATTTCTTACATTTTATGAATTTTGTGAGTTTTTTGAATGTAATTTAATCCCGTAAAAATTTTTGGACTAACTTAGCGTCATGGACTTTCACTGAAATCTGTTTTGTTTTGAAGCTGTGGTGGGTGAAGCTTTTCAGAAGACAAAAGGATTTGAAATCCTTTCTCTTTATTATTACAGATGTGCAATGGTTTAGAGCAGCCAAGGAAGCAACAGCGTTCAGACCTCAACGGACCAGTTGACAACAATAATACGCCCGAGGTGGGTACCTAAGGCCTTTCGGCTATTCTGCTGCCCATCATCCTGTGGTCAGGCTTCCACAAGGGAAAGCAGGCACCAAATTGCCAGCTTTCTTCCTCACATGCACACACTTAGGCTCTGTTTCCTTTCCTGGACTGACAATAAATACCACATCTGCATATTCCAAACAGTCTTTGAGCTATACCCATGAATCTTTTCCTGCCACGTTCATTTTATGTAACTGTCAACAGCATGTGCTCAAGCCTGAAATTTTCTGATCACATACAGAATGGGGAGAACACTTCAGAAATTCTCTTTTTGGATTATTGGAGAGCAAAAGTAGCATCAAAAAGAAATCGGCTTCTGCTTTTTTTTCTTTATTCACACCTCCCCCTGCCTCAGATGCCAGTCTTTGAAACCGAAGGACTGCTTAATTCCCACAGGAAGAATTCTCTTTAAATAACGCCTCATATCAAGCGCCTCATTCAGTGCTGAGGGCTCAAATGACTCGGTCTCTGTGGTAAGATGTGTCCTGGCCCGGTCAGCTGTGAAAAAGGTGCAGCGATAGGCAGACCTGCTCGTCCCTGAGGACTGGAGCAGAGACGCCTCCTGAGAACGCAGCAGGAGGTTATGCTTGAGGCTAGACACAATGAAATTAAATCCAGACCGAAAAGCACGTCTGTTACCTCGAAAACATGTAACATGTAGCCTGTAGCCTGCTGTTACATTAATGAAGAGGCACATTTCTAAAGCCTTTTCCCATAATGCAGATATCAGTCTCTTTCCTAGAACCGGGAATGCCTGAAGAGGCTGGCAAAAGACCAACAAATGGAAGGACTCTATCTGTTGAAAATAGACACAGTAGCATAAACAGAGCACTGTATGGCCCCTGCTGAAATTAGGTGTAATGCTGTCTACTCTGCAATCAGGGACAGCTCTTTGTGCTCAATGACCCAGAATCTTGTTTTGTAAAATACTGTTAAATGTTCTTCAGTGGAAATTTGGGATACTGTTAACAGGCAGTGTGATCTAGTGGACAAACTACAGACTGGGAACTTCTGGTTTTTATTGCTCATTTGACAGCAGGTCATTTTCATATTCTTCCCCCCACCCTCCCTTATATTTTTGTGTGGTGGTATCTGCTTAAAAACCTTTGAGATTCCAGCTGAACAGCACTACGTAACAGTTAGGTTGGGTTAATTACTGTGATGTCAGGTGTTTCACTGTGCTAAATAGTGGCTATGCAGAAGTTACACAGAGAAATTTGATTTTTGGTAACCAATGGTCAGTTGTTTAAATATAATATGAATTCACTTAGTTTGTTAAAATTATTTTGTTACAGCTATACCATTTTTATTTCTCAACAGACAAAGAAAGTGTCTTCGTTTCCAAGTTTTGTTGATGGTAAGTTTCACATCGTCAAATGCTTTAATATATTTTTATGATCAAAGTTCTAAAAAACAGTCAAACCCAAGAAAATACAGCTGAAAAATTTAAGTATTGAAGTATTTAACATTTTCATCCCTGCCCTGTGGCAATTGGAGCCTGGTGGTGATAAAAAGATAGAGCAGATAGAGCTCTGAGAAGAATTAAGGTGAAGATGGAGACAGATAGAAATCTGGAAGGGGGTAAAAAAGGTGGTAGCAGTGGGTCCCAGCAGGGTGGAGATTTAGGAAGGTATAAGAGCACCCTGTTCTTCATGGCCTTGTGCAGAGGAAGGAGTTACTTTACCTGTTCAGAGTAGCCCCTGTATCACTTTGATGTGACGCCCGTTATTGCACTCCGGGAATCTCAGTTGTCAGCACAAATGGAAAGGTTCTCCTGATCTGACAGAAAATTGGTAATCCAATCCTTTATTAAGGAGAACCATGCTGTCATGTGTTTCTCCAGTCTCCTCTGCGGTGCTGTTGCGTATTTTCTGTTTGGAGAAAAATAAGTCAATTTATGAACACAGGAGGCGGAGAGAGATAAAATGGGATTATACTGAAAAATGTTACGGTTCTCCGATTCACAGACAGCTGAAGAACTTTGTATGGGGGAAATGCATACAGCTCTTCGTGGAAAGGAAGGTACACATTGTAAAGTGAGAAGAGATGGTAGGGAGCTACTAAGGATCTGACCCCTTAGACCTGCCACGGACACACTTTTCCCCACAACAGAAACCATAAATGAATGTTAAAAAGTTGATCTTCAATGCCTTTCTCAACTCAGAGAAGACTTACAGTGATTCAGAATATTAGAATGTTCCACACATTTTTCTTCTATTCCCTGATCTCATCAGCTTGACTAGCGGCTTCTGGTTTTAGTCATTTCCTTGAAGAGCTAGAGCAAATGGAAGGTTCAAAGATTGCCCCTTTTACACAGATTGACATCTGCAGAAAATTGCACATAACACTTGGCATGTACCGGCTAACAGGCCCTAAACAGAGGTGAATTAAACGCGTTCCCCGGAGGTGGCGGAGGCAGCAAGCTGATGCTTTGTAATGATCATCTACTGATTGTAGAGTGGAAAAAGGGAGGCCAGCATGAGCAGAGCTTTGAAACAGACTAGAAAATTCACCCCTCACAGCACTGGCAGATACAACTGCACATTTTAATTTTATTAGGATAAAAAGATGCTGTCTTTTTCTTTTCTTACCAATCAACTCACTACTCTGTTGGAAAGGGGTCAGTATACTCTTTTAGATGGCATAATACCTTTTTTTCTTAGTTAAATCATTTTGCTTTCTCTGAATTTGCTCTATAGTTGCACAGGATGTGAGGATAAGCTATCTGTTAGGCTTTTCCTACTTCAGGAATTGCATGGCATTGTCTCATACAATATGTGACTCACTAGAAGATTACGATAGCTATCATGACTGCTCTCCGAAATCAAAATAAAACACAGTTTTTATTATTAATTTGTATGTAGAGTCCCAAAGGAACAGGACCCTACTGCACATAAGATTCTGCCAGCTTAACACTCCCTGTTCCACCTGGAGCTTTGACAGCACTACCGCAATCATATTCTGGTTATATTCATATTCAGCTGTTCAGGCACTTAACTTCCAGCATGAACTCCTTAACTACAGTAGCTGTACCTTTCTGACTGTGAATATATAATATTTTTCATACGTCATGTGGACATTTAAAAAAAAATCAGATAACAGGCACAAAAAAGGAAGCGTGTCCTTTGGCTAATTGTTCCGATAGTACTAGCACTGCATGCTTGTAGTTGTAATTAGTTCCATGTTCAGGGGTTCTGCCTTTTTTGTGCTCCATATTTGTCCTGACACCCTAAATCTCATTCCTTTGCACAGTCACAACCACGACGACGTAAAGATATCAGCCAAAATATGGAATGTGCAGATAGGCATTCTGCAGGGTGACATATGCTGTGTGTCCATCTACTCCTTACGCCAAATCCGCTGCAGTGCCACGCGCCCTGAGGTCTGAGCAACTTCACGGAGTATGATGGTTCTCAGCTTCTGTGCTCTGAGCAGTCTTTAAGTACTGTCTGAATCCCTGATTTACACAGGATTTTAGATAAATACAAAAATATGTTCCCAACAGATTATTAAATTCAGCTATGCTGAATTATTGAATGAGTATTCTTTTTCTTATTTTATGAATACAAAAGAAAAGTTGATGTAAAAATGTCTAGAAATACGTTACATTTGTTGCATTAACAGATCAGCAGAAAGCCCAGTAACCTCTATTGCACTGGTAAGATAGGGCAGAAATTTACAGTCAGATTTTCTCTGAAACAGTTAGCTGATGTTTAAGCACCAATACTCAATGTAAAATTCCAATCTTTGTTCACACTGAATTAATCTTCACATTTCAAATCTGTTTCTTTCTCCTTCTCCATCAGTAAGCCTTACACATGCATACAGTCAAGGGCAGGCTTAAGTGCTCTGATGGGCTTGGGCTGCAGCCAAATCTGCATTTTTATATTCTTTAAAGCAGTCAGTGATAAGGGAAGAAGACACCCAGGTAACCCAACTGGACCTTGGCAGTTTTCAATACCATTCCGCCCTCCAACAGATGCCTTATTTTACCTGACAGCTGCTTATGTTGCCTCCATGATGGAAATGGTTTCTGCCCAACGTGCCTTTTTTGGTGGGTTTTTTTCTGTATTAGCTATTGCTATAAACATCTTATACATGCTCTTGTTTTATACATGATGTTGCAGAGTTTGTTGCTATTATAATGATTCTGCCAAAAAATAACCTCCTAATGCTGTGAAGAGATGCTGAAACCATGTCCAGCCAAAAAACCCCAAACTTTACAGAATCCACATAAATAAAATTACGATAATAGAGTTGCTTAAAACTAGGTCATTTCCATGTTCAAGAAGTTTTCAGACAAATTGGTTATAAACACCATTGCTGTCACCAAGCAGCCAAGACACGAGAAGAATTCTTTGTTTCCTTTGTAACACTCCTTAATTTCATATAGCCCTAAGATTTGGTGGGGATTACTGTCTCATGCTCGGAGATGCTAGCAGTGTGTACATACAGATGTTTAAACATGTCTCTGAAAGGAAAGTACCTTTGACACAGCCTGTCAATGACTTGGAAGTCAAGACACAAATGGCTTGCTCAAAGATGTACAAAGCACTGATATAACCAGAAGTGGGCCAAATTCTACATTCTTGAAAATAATTGAAGAGAAAACAAGCTTTCCTGAGCTCAGCCAGAGCTTTTGGGACAGAAAGGAAGTAGATTAATGGACTGATATGATTTAAATAACCAGCACAACTTTATTTGTTGACAAATCCCGCAGCCTCTTGGAATTTTGGTCTTTGATGTAGTAATGCTTGTGTTAGAATTTGTACCCAGAATCGCAATTTTACTTGTTTTCAGACACACAAATATTTCAAGAAACTCAACCTAAATTAACTACTAAAGGAGGTTAGTTAAACTGATTATGTGGGTAAGCGTATTTCAGAGTTAAAGTAACCTTGATTGAATTTAGCCTGAAGTGAATGAAGGAGAACAAAACTGCAGCCACTTTAATTTTGAATGAGCGGGTTGACGCAGGTATCTCATGATGCTTTGCTAACTTAACATTAAATTCACATCTTTAAGTAATTTCCCTCTTTGGTGCCCTTGAAAGAAGGTGTCGGTATGATGCAACATTAGCATGATGTTGCATGCTAAAAGAAGTACAGATGTATGAGACTAAGTTTTGGGCTTGAGAAGACGTCTGAATAGCATCATCAGAAGAGGTACCAGATAAGATACACCATCCATCTGCTGAAAAATGTAATGGTGCAAAGATGCAGGCAAGGAGGAACAGTGATGTAGTAAATGGAGTTCTACTGGAATTTTCATTTTCTTTCATTCAGTGACTCAGTGCTGCAGCAAGGATTGGTTTTTGGGGTACTGACAGACTTAGCCTTCAAGAAGAGATTCAGCGCCTTTTTAAATTAGTAGCTTCCCAAGGATTTCAGTGAGGGATTTCACACTTCCAGTGGAGATTGTTATGCTATTTTTTATTCTTTCCTAACACACTGAGAATTTTTAATTCCACAGAATTCTCTTCTGATTTATAATGAAGATCTAAACCATTACTGGATTTGTATGGATGTGATCTTAAGCAAAATGCGTCCTCCTGTGGTATATAATTCTTTCAAAGCTTGAAACTACGCTGTTTGCTAGCAAAACAAATCACTCCACTTCCTGTGAGCATTCCTAGTTAGTATTAGGTCTCTGAAGAGTGCAGGACCAGTACAACTATATATATGTGTGTTTCTATACTTTGAGTACGGAGTTACAAAGACTGGGTTTTGTTTGCTGCGGGTTGACATTTCCAGCAGGTGGCTGCGAGGTCTGCATGGAAGTGTCAGTGTCAGCAACTCTGCTTGAAGAAGAAAGTCACTTCTTTTAGTCAAGTTTATTTTCTGTTGTAAGACTTTTTCTAAATTAGAGCAGGAAAATGAAGGATAGGAATGCTCACTGAAAGGTGTACGTGCGAATGACTGCTCCAGTAAATTTTATCAGCATAGCATGCCATATATATTCTCCACATATTAATCTTCCACATTTAATTGATTATAAATAAATTGAACTAATCCACTGTACAGGAAAACTTTCCTTTTAAATTAGCTTCTCCCTTCAGTGTCAGTTTTCTCCTCACACATGAGATTGATGCACTGCAAAAAAAGGTGTTAGAAGCTTGGCAAGTTTGTACAGCTCTAAGCAAATTTCTTTTATAAAACCGTTGAGGAACAGAAAATATTCACTGTCAAGAGGTTTCAGCCAGACTCTGGGATGACTGTTCTTTGCTGTTGATCTAATCAAGCAAGTTGTAAAGTTCAACAGCTGGATACAGAGGATGATGAGCATAGTCCCAGTAGGATATAAATACTACCCTTTATTCTCTTCTCCTTGCCCCTCCTCCTTTTCATCCTTGGAAAGAAACAACATGCAAAATACAAGTTAATGTTAGAATCTCCAGTTCTAATTCCAATTATTTTCCTCTAGAATTCAACAGTCAGGCCATTATGTAATGTTTAAATACTCTCTGTTTGGTTTGTATGGGTTTTTCTGGAAATAGTTATAGGTAAACCATTGTTTATTTTACACTGGATTTTTTCACCTGTTTCATATTAGGAAAGGTCTTAAGAAGGTTGCCCAAGCCTCAATATCTTTCATTCCATTTCTCATTTCTCATCTCTCTACCCTCTTTTGAAAGGCAGTAACTGTCAATGTCTCATGTCAGTTCCAGGACCTTGTGAACCTGAAGACCTCATTGATGGCATCATCTTTGCAGCTAATTACCTGGGCTCTACGCAGCTGCTCTCTGAGCGCAACCCTTCCAAAAACATAAGAATGATGCAGGCCCAAGAGGCAGTGAGCCGTGTTAAGGTAGGGGATTTTTATGGTTTGTAGAATACTCTCTGGTCCTCTCTGAACTGTGCATGAGCTGCAGCTTCAAACCTGTTCTGAACTGCACTTACGTGAGTATAGATCTAGTACTGTAAATGCCATTAGTTTCCAGTGCCTGTTAATGAAAATATGTACAGCATCTCTGCGGAGCAAAGCATAAATTATTCCAGAGTATTCAAAATCACTTGGAAGCTGTGTGAAAGATTCAAGTATTAAAGACAAATTGCAGATTGCAATTAGGAAATATTCCAGTGGCAGTGCACAGGCTATTTGTTTGACTCTGTTTTTCTTCTGATGTCACTAATTCCTTTAACTTACTACAAGTTGTGAAGATACTCTCAGTATATTGAATTACTACTTTTTTAGGACAAGAAGGTTCATTACTCTTTTGTTTGGATTTGGTGTTATTCACAGTGAACAATTTCTGTGTAAATAATGTAGCATATACAGCTTTATACAGCTGTGTAAAAAAATGCTTTTTTGGTTGATAAACCAAAAAAGAGATTATTCTTTTACAGTTTTGTGGATCTACTGTAAATACGTATCTAAATAAAACACATGGTTAGAAAGAGTTACATTTAAATGCTAATTGAAAAATTACGTGCTTAGTCAGTAAAGAATTGGTAAAAAGTGCATGTTGGAAGGAAAAGAGTTTGGGAAAATCATTTACTTAGCAAGAGACTGTCATGATTGATTTGACATTTAGAAACAAATGGAAGGCAAGAAAGGCCCAGTTCTTTAAACTTTCCAGGCCTTTGAATTTCTGTTTAGCATATTGTGATGTCTCAAGCAGTAAGTTACTGTTATTGCAATTAACTCCCTAAAAACTGTTTTGTGTATTAACAGCAGTCCTTATCTGTCAGGGGTACTTGACTAATTTAGATAGTCATGGAAGAGAGCATGAGTTAGCTTTGGTCAACAATTAGGCGTAGACGTATGATTCATATGGATGGAAAACCTTGAGTTTAAAATAGTGCACGTGCTGTCATTCCAGACTGCTGTATATTTAGGAGGGTAAGTGTTATGAGCAGCTGTTAACAGACAACACTCTTTGGTACTAATTTTTGTTAATCAACCTACAACATGCATAATGCCATTGAATCCAGTTGTGCTTGAGAACTGCTAAGAGACAAACAGACCTTTCTCTCTTGCACATCCTTCTCCCACTGCCCCCTAATTTTTAATTTTTAACAGTCTGGATTCATAGTCATAAGATTTCCCTGACTTCCCACGCTGTCTTTTCTCTTTCTTTGTGTGTACATCTGTCTGCATTCTTTCTTTATGCTACTCCTCAGAGGATGCAAAAGGCGGCTAAAATCAAGAAAAAAGCGGTGTGTAAACTGTTTTTCTTGAATGCTAATGTTTTCTTACATTGTTGTTGTACTTGTTCTCCACGGAGTGTTGTGTCTTTCATTATGGGTCCTCATGAAGTTGTCATTTTGGTTTCTTCTTTGTTAAGTCGTAGAACACTGGATGGAATAAAATGAACTCATTTTCTTCACTGTTCATTCGCTAGAGTGCCTGTCTGCTGCTCTTCTGTTAAATTACCCATGATTTGTTTAGTCCAGATATACAACCAGTGTTATCCAGGAAATTTTTTTCCATGTAATGTTTATTTTCGTTACACTAACCAAAGCAGTAAGGTGTATTTCCTGTGCCTGTGACTTACTGTATATTTATTAAATGATTGTTGGTATTTAAAAAAAAATAAATTTACCAGGTAGCAGCTGGAACGATTCATACAGGAGATATTTCACTCAGTTAAAATCTATACTCCAGTTAACTAAATACAGTGGACAAAAATACCACTAAAACTAATCTTGCTCTTTTAGCTGATCTTGGATGAAAGCAATATAAGTAATCTCTGCCAGAGTATGTGCTTGCTGCGTATTTTGCTGGATGCGATTTAATTCAAATAAAATTAATCTGAACAAACTATAGGCATAACTAAGCCTTTACAACTACAGAAAAGAGAAGCAAATACATTGTTCTTCCTTGCACCGTATCACCAAAGAACCAGTCCCTGACCTGGAGGCTGATGCCTGCCCTCAGCACAGCGTGGTACAGCCTGTGGCTATTTTATTCTGAGGCTGCCAACACCCGTGCTGCTAAATAGCAGTTGGAGGTGGACAAGTAGCCTGGGGGAATAAATAGGTTCCTGCTGGAACTCAGAGTATTAGGTGAGCTCCTGGATGATGCTCCAGCGAGAGGAAACAGCTGCTTTGCCACTTTCTCTCCTGTTTTCTCACATGGGCAGAACCAGAACTCACACTTAAGGAAGTCCTACACTACACTGTAATCCCATGTGCTCCATCATCATGTTTCTTGATGGGCTATGGAACTGTCTCCCTAGTGAGCAGTTGAGGCCTAAAAGTCAGCTGATGACTTACTGTGATAAAAGAGAAATATTAGTTCAGCACTCAGTTGTTTATTTTCTAGAAAAAAACTGAACTACAAATTTGAAAAAAACCCTCAAAACCTAACACCTCCCCTCAGTACTGAGCACCAGGTTGTGCTTTCTTCGGTGAGCTCACTGAAGATGCAAGGGCTAAGCAGCTGACGGGGGGTAAGCCACCTTCTCATTTCTGCTACTTGGTCGATTCCAGTGCCACAGGGTCTGAAGTGCATCCACCAGAGCGTGGGGAAGAAACCACCATACTCTTTCTTCTGTTCTGGCTAGAAACACAGAACTCCGTTACTTCAGCTGTCAGTCCCACGGGCTCCAAACACTCACTCGTACCCACAACATCAGAGTATGCTTCACTCTTTCTGCAATAAATGCATTCTTTGCACGTATTTAGAAACACCTCTGAATAGCCATCTTTGTAGTGGTTTAACAGTGCGATTGCCTCACATCGCATTATGCTTGATCAGTGAATTTGTCATTCCGAAGAGGAAATTAAAATTCCCCTGTGACAAGGCATCTGTCTTTTAGACTTCAGAGGGAGATTCCCAGGCCTTGACTGAAGTGGATCTGTTCATCTCCACCCAGAGAATCAAAGTTTTAAATGCAGACACACAGGTAAGTGATGATAAAAACTCTGCAAGGATAATGTTGAGTTAGACATTATACTACTAATGCGCTCTTACACTATTAAAGGGAAACTTTACTAAAATTGGATAAATTCACTGTTATGAGAATGTTCAGAAAGGGCAGTATTAGGTCTGCTATTGTAACGCTTGCCGTTGCCATTATAGTAATACTGACACCAACTTTGCTTATTTGATGTACTGGACAATGCCTGCATGTTACTGAGATCTGTAATTCCTTCCGTTCAGGAAAAGATTCAAAAGTCTTTCAGCATGAATGCACCTTGTTTCTCTGACACGTCTTCCATACCCAAATTTGTAGTCTGACAGGGAAGTAATTTGCTGCTTTGACTAAAGATGCTCATATCTTGCCATTTTAACATTTAACCTCCGATTTTTCCATAAATCATATCTGAGCTGTAATCCCCTTTGCCTAAGGTAAACTATTAATTATTCATATTAAACAAGCATCTGGAGACCACAGCAATAATCAGCCTCATCTCCTAGGAATGCATACATATATTCAACATGAGGTGATCTTCTAAGAAGGATTTTTTAAAGGTATTTACAGTTAAATACATACAATTTGTACATGGATCCCAACATTTAGTATAAGAATCTCACCAGATCTCTTAGACTTTGATCAGACTTACAGTAAGTCTTTAAATTTTCATTCTTAGGAAAGGCTTTGAAAAAGGAGATTTTAGTGACAATTTTGCTTTAGCTTTCACTAAAAAAATCCACTGTATGCAGCTAACAGCAGCTGATGAATGGCAAGACCTCAAGTTCCATTACACAACAAACCATTTGGAAAGTGCTTAGTCAAGCTAGATATAGTCAAACTTGAAAATTCAACTGGTACTATTCGGAAAAATGGTTGGAGCAAGCTTATGCTGTCCTTTCAGTGATACTCTTCCAGAACTCAAAAAGGTAATATTCAGGCTTTTTTATTTCAGTCGCAGAACAGGCCAAGGATTATAGGTAAGTTTAACTGTCAGAAAGATATCAAAACAAACCAACCCTTTGTCAGCAGATGGGAGTAGAAATGAGCAGGAGTCAGCACAGATCTGTCAAAAGTAAATAATGTCAAATCAATTGGTTTTGTGACAGGGAATATGTTTGTTTGCGGCCCAGAAGCAGCACACGTTGCCTATTGACTTAAATAAGGCTTCTGTCTCATATATTTTCTAGTTTATATGATCTAGATACAAAAGATACAAGGAGGCTAAAAAAATTTCTGAGGGTACTTATTTCTGACATACAGCCATATAGATGGCAGTATAAAGAAAGAGCAGAGAGATACTCACAAGCATGCTTCCATACTGTCCAATTTGCTGTTCAATATTTTCATAAACAACTTAGGAGATGGAAAGAGAAAATGGTCATTGAACTTGTACCTTAGTGTATAAGATCGGGGTTCAGAAATAGCACGGCTAACTGAAGAAACGAGCTGAAGCGATAGGAAATATGTCAGTAAAAATCAATGTAGCACTCCAGGATTTTGTCTGGTTTTTAATTAGTATATAATTGCTTTTTCTAACAATGCAAACCATGAGGACAACTACTTCTTGAAATTTAAGAGTGCGTTACTCTCTTTTAATGTGCGGGTAATGATAGCATCTCCAGGAAATAGACTATTTTTCTTTTAACATAAGCACATGTCCTTAACCTGCCACTAGAACTCCCAAGAGATGGAGCCAGATAAGGAGTAGAATATCCCTTCTAACATGGGCAGCAGTTTTTTATAGTCTGCCGTCCGTAAATCATCCTGATACTGCATTTCACCCATGGTAACCAGTACCACTATTTGTTATGGCTCAGCCTCTTTTTGACCTCATGGTAAATGTACATCATCCAGAGAGTGTATTGTCAAAGCTTATGACTACTTTTGCGTTAGCAGAAAGTAAAATGCTAGTAATTATCTGTGTAAAGATGACTACTGAGCGTTACCGATAAATGAACAGCTACAGTCTATAGTTGGAATGTGTGGCAGTAAATAGATAAGTTCTCTTTGTTGAGTAAGGATCGGTCCTAGTGGAAATCACT